TGTACAATCAGTGGTAACTGTGCAGTGGAGTTAAACAATTAAACAATACACAGTTACCACTGATTGTACACTCCACTGTACAATCAGTGGTAACTGTGTATTGTTTAACTCCACATATGCAAATTTATTCAACAAAATCCACTTAGTTATGACTAAATTTTTTGCTAATTTCTATATAAAAAGTCACATGATTTATCGGTCTGACATTTTTACTACAGCTTCATCTAAGTATAAAGGTGGACCATTTTTAGCATCTTTGTCATTCGGAATAAAGATGGCTGAGTTAGAGCAGCAAACCTATAAGGTAAAAGCATGAGTAGATACATAAGTATCGATTAGGCCAGGCAAACCAGATTACCAGTTTCTAGCTCAAGTTTTCAAAAGCATCATACAGGTGGACAGTTATCATTCATTGCCAACTTTTAAGCACAAACTTACTCAATTTTATGAAATTCTCCTAATTAAATAGTTTGGCATCATATGATATTAGCTTAAGCAATTAGCGTAAATAATGATTGATACAGCTGTACAGAGAGCATGCAGGTGATGAAAATAAACTATTAATCTAGTTTCCATGAGATTACTATAAATGAAGTTATTAACATTTTTTTAGAGGGGAAACTACCATTATATGTTTTAAAGAATTTGGTTGGTTCTATAAAGTAAAGATCTGTTCCAAATAATAGAGTTGAGATCCTTAAGACAATGTTTGTTACTATCGAGTGTCACTTTTTTATTTGCTGTGGTTTGTTGGTGTGTATTGACAAAAAGTATTGATATTTAATCAAAAACACCTTAGGTGTGAAAAGCTGAACAAAAAACACGCTCTGGCTAACTAATGAACAAATATCTGTTATAAAATTCTTATCATTGCTATAAGTGTATCTACCAGTTTGGCCACCAATTTTGATTTCATTCTTTTAAGCCACACACTCAATCCTTTTTTGGTCACACCTTTTTTTCACAACAAAGGTGTTTTTGATTAAATTTTACATACAGCAATTCCTTCCATAAACCTTTTGTTCTTGTGGCAACCTCAAGTTATCATAGTTCTTTAATACTTTATTCCTTTAGCGAGTTTTAAAACTGCATTAAAAGTCGTAAGAAATAACTAAACAAATTCTAAAAGTATTTCGTCACTTACCATAGGGATTTTTAGCTTTGATTGGTGCATCCGTTACAAGAGGTTCAGATTCTCCTTCTGGATTGACAGCCTTTACACGGAACTGATAATCTTTGCCAGGCACCAAACCTTTTACCTCAATTTCTGGTTTGTCGGAATCAGTACGATCAACAGGCACCCAAGTTCCAGTATCAAGATCCATTTTCTCCACAATATAATGTTGAATGGGCTTGCCACCATCATCTTCAGGCTTCTTCCATTTGAGCTTACAGCCTTTGGCATGAACGTCTTCAACTTTAAGTGGACCTTGTGGTCTTGTTGGAGCTCCTGAAATGAAGGACAAAAATTGTTTCAAAAAGCCAAATTTGGTATATATATATATATATATATAACCAAATTTGGTAATATATGTTTATATATATATATATATATATAACCAAATTTGGCTTTTTGAAAACAATT